ACATGCCCTCGGCCATGACCGTGTACGCGCTGGTGGTGGTGTCCTACTTCCTGATCACCGGAGGTGAGGCCGCGGGCGTTGGGAGCGTGGGACTCCGCTGACCGAGCCGCTCTGCCGGGCGCCTGCTGGCCCTGCCCCGCGTGGCACAGCCACAGCTGCTGCTCAGCCCTTGTCCGGCTCCGAACCGCTCGTAACACGCGAACCTCGGCCAGCTCCGGGCGTCCCTGCGGTGTTAGGGCAGTGCTCGCTGCTACGAGTCATAGGTGGTGCTCGCTTTTCTCCCCTTAGGAATTATCTATGACGTGATCGTGGAGCCTCCGAGCGTGGGGTCGATGACAGATGAACACGGACATCAGAGGCCGGTGGCTTTCTTGGCATACAGGTAGGAGGGTAAGAGCAGGGCCCTGTCGCCACTAGTGAGGTGTTGCAAATGCCTAAGCACAAGTGAATAAACCCTGTGTTACAGAGCTGTTCAAGGCAGGAGCTGTTCTGTACCAGGCCTTAGTTTGCAAATATTTTAAAAAATAAAAAAAAGCAGCACTGAAGTCAATGGAAATTGAAAAATTTAGTCTTAACACTTTTGAAAATGAAAAGTCTGGTAAAAGCCTTGAGCTGGCAATATTTCTGGTTTTTGCTATTCAAGTTGAGTTTTACAGTGGATGCAGACACATTTGATCATTCTTCGTGGCAGCATACATGATGCTTGTGAAACTCTTGGTTCTGGCCTTTTAAACTTTAGTGTCATTGGGACTCTTCTGTCTGGGGGTGCGGAACATAGTTGCAAACATGAGTGGTCTTTGAGCCTTTTGCTTCTGTTACTGAAAATAAGCCAGAGACTCTTAGTAACAAATTGGTCTGAAGAGACTTAAATCTCCATTTGTAACTAGTTTTCCATGCGTGTGGAAACAAATAAGGATTGCTGTTAAATACTGAAAAAGTTGTTTCAATGTGCAAGGTCTGTGACGTGCCTGATGTACAGGTCTTAACTTGGACTAGATATAGTGTGTGTTTCAGACCAGCTTGGATTGTTGCAATATAGATGAATCAGGCTACTGGAGGACGTTGCTAGCACTTTAGAGCAAGTCAGTGTAGCGACATGAAAGAAGACTAGCTTGTTTGTTTTCAGGATAGGAGACATTCATGATGAATCAGGATGGAAATAGGAGGGTCATGGTTCCATGCCTATGGTTGTCTGTGTAACCAGGGGCTTCCTTGGACTAGATATTTCTGCAAACTGGACTAGATAATTTCTGGAAACTGATGAGCCTGTGTGGTAGCCATTAGTATACACTATTACGTATACATCTGCTTATATGTTTGTCTGGCCACCTCACAGACTGTCAGTCCCAGAGATAAATTACATATTGAAGTCTTGATGTAATTGTGAAACATCAGTTTCCTACTTTTAGTTAGAGTCAGCAGTCAAAGTTAATCATCCTGTGTGTTTGTACAGCTAAAGCAGGTAGAGCAAATGGGGTTTGAAACACAAATAGTTTCTCTAATCTTTATGACTCTTCCCTTCACCCTTCTTTTTTTCTTTAGAGTAAATGGACAGTATATTATGGAAGGCCTTGCATCCAGCTTCCTCTTCACAATGGGTGGCCTAGGATTTATAATTCTGGATCGATCCAATGCACCAAATATCCCCAAGTTGAATAGGTTTCTTTTGCTCTTTATTGGATTTGTCAGTGTACTTTTGAGCTTCTTCATGGCCAGAGTTTTCATGAGGATGAAATTACCGTAAGTGATTTAATTATCTTTCAGCTTTTCTTCTTTTTTTGTGGCTCGTGTGTGCCTATGTTAATTATAAGAATAACAGAAAATACAATGATCTTCAGCTTGACTATAAGATGCTTTTTTTGTCAACACTATTTTTTGGAATAAGCCACCTTAGATGAGGTGAGATGCTCTGGTGGCTAGCTAGTGTGAGATTGTGCTGTGGTTAAAAAAGGGTGGCAGTTCCTGGTATGTCAGAAAGTAATGATTAGTGAGTCTGGTTGGCTCAGTGTACCTTAAAATTCATTGTATATACCAGTCAGGTAAAAGCAGTCACAAAGTAGAGCTTTGAGGAAAGAGAAGTGTTAAAGTACTTGAAGAAAGGCAAAAGAGTTCTTTATAGTGACAGTGTACATGAGAGGTTATAACGAGCTGATAGCAGCAGTAATGAGTGTTCAGAAACAGCTCAAGCAGTCCTAGAATAAAGATGATGTCTCTGTTGTTTTGGGGGGCTTTTTCCTGTTGCTGAAAAATTGAACATAACATTGAAGCATACAATATATGTGGAGTTTAAATGCATCTATAGTCAGAGATCAAAAATCAGGAAAGGTCTGGAGCTTTCAGGCTATGCAAAATCCAAATGTGGGATTTCCAGTTTTTACCCCCTCTTTATTTTGCAGTCCATCTGTTTACTGTAGCTGAAACCTGATGTTCAGAAGTACTGGTAGCTAATTTTTGGAGTAGCTGCATGAAGTGTTGACCTAATAGTGACAGTCATTTTTCCTTTTTTAAATATTTTTTGACCTCTGCAGTGTAGTTAACAATTTTTGTTTCATAATACAGAAGTGATGGTTTCCCTGGCAGCAGGTAGCTAGATAGGGACCTGCTCTATATTTTCTTGCTTCATTGATGTTGTATATTTTTTTGTTTCATTAAGTACACGTGTCTTAACAGTTTTCTTTCTGAAATTCCTTAAAGAAATGGAGCTTCGGAGAAATGGAAGAGAAAAAGAGATCGGATTTGTATTGAGTGCCAGAAAGATCAGGTTATATTGATTGTCTTAACAGTGGTAGTTTGTGTAAAGGATACAAATAAAGAGCCTTTCATGGGGTGTAACATGGGCTTCAGAAATTTCAAACAATTACTAAAGCTGTATTGAGAATAGACTAATCCATTTTCAGTGTTCATTGAAGAAAATTAACTGAGGAAGGAGTATGTAGATAAAATGACCAAATAGCCTTGATAAGCAGCATTTTTGGCAGTAGTTTTCTTTAAAGTTCGTATGTCTCTTGATTTTTGAGGAGTGCTGCCTGTGTTTGCTAACTTTTTTTCTGACTTAATTTTTTTGTCTGTAGGGGCTACTTGATGGGTTAGTACATCTTGTGGTGTATGAAAACTCAAGCTGAATTTACTCCTCTTCATGAAGTGTTTAAGAAGAAACTGCAAGTTCTATAGTCACCATCAACAGTGAAGAGACCTGGCCATGAGAAACAACT